GCTTCAGTACTTTTTAAAAAATTTTGGGACACAGCCCCACAAAGTCACCATTACCAAGGCTGTTCTCAGGCTTGGAATCCTGCTTCAGCGCCCCAGAGGCTGAAACTACAGTTGCGTGCCCACCTGCCTGGCTCTTCCCACTTCTTGACCCCGTAATTCTCTGGGTATTCTGTATCAGGAAAATAACCCAAATTGAAGAGTTTGTACAGTGTGTCATCCGCACTGGCAAAGAAGGCAAGCTGTGAGTGGACGGAGGCCACACAAGGGTCACCATAGATAATGACGCTGTGACGGGCCCTGCCGGGCAGCAAGGGCTATACCTCCACACTGCAAGGCCAGTGAAGAAAGGTCTGAGAAAGAATCGTGGGGTGCTAATGACCACGAGCGTCTTCCTCCTATTTTTCTGGTTTCAAAACAGCTGAAATTCTTCACATTTAGAAAAATAGGCTTTATATGGCGGAGAAAGGGAAGGCTTCCAGATAAAGCTTGGGGTGCTATAACGGGGTTCCTAGGCTGGCGGGAGCAGTATCGTTCCCAGCCTGGCCATGGGGATGACACCTCCCACTCCAGGTCATGGCTGAGGTTGGGCAGCAAGTAGAGGCCTCTGTGCCCAGTCGTCAGGCCCTTCTGGCACACAGTGGACACCACTCCATGTGGAAGCTATTGCTGAGCACTGCTGACCCTGGCAGAGCCCAGACGGCAAGGGAGAAGGCATTGAGCGAAAAGGTCTTGACGGGAAGGAACCTGCTAGGTGCAGAACCACAAGGACAGAGGTGGCTGCTGGACAGAGAGGAATGGTGCAGATGACCAGGTGGGGCCTGGGTTGTGGGCAGTGGACTGGACTTTTCTCCAAGAGCAGCGGGAAGACTCCAGAGCGATTCATTGGGTAAGAGATGGGGCCTGGGTTATGTGGCTAAAGGACTCCTGGATCATGGGTCAGGACAGGGGCCACAGAGGAGTCCACAACTGTTGTGTGGGTAAGATGTAGAGACAGCGTGGCCCTGCAGGTGGGGAAGGGGGCAATCTGGGAAGCATATGGAGGGATGCCCGGCTGCACACCTGTCCACTCAGAGGACCCCCGTTTACAGCAGAGTTCCTCCCCCAGGGCTGGGCTCAGATCAGTCTTCCGTCCCAGACACAGAGCCTGGTTCTGCTTATCCAGGCGCCCACAACGGAGCACTGGATACTTCCTAACTGCACTGTGATGCCTCTGTGGGGGGGCCACGTGTCTGAAGCTGTGCAGCTCCCCAGAAAGGGAGGGGGCCACATGTCTGGAGCACTTCCGTCTGGGGCCCGGACATGAATCCGAGGCTCCCCGTAAGCCTCTCACATTGGAACTGCTGCCCCTTAACTCACCGCCGTGAGGGCCTGTCCAGGTACCAGGATGCTGTGGGGTTCAGGGACAGAGAAATGCAGCCTCAACCCCCTGCCATAGCCCAAAACCTCAGCTTATAAAACAAAACAAACGGAGATAAAATTCACATACCACAAAGCACACCATTTTACAGTACACTCTTCAGCGGCTTTTAGTATATTCACAGATTGTGCAACCATCTCCACTATGTGATTCCCGAATGGATGCATCACCCCAAAACGAAACCCCACATCCACCATCCTGCTCGCTCCTTGACCCGTGGCGACCACCACTTTGGGTCTCCATGGATTTGTCTCTCCTGCATGTTTCTTCTCTATGGCGAAAGGCTCAGCGCCCTTGCAGGCCACAGACTCCAAGAGCCCACAGAAGGGCTGCAGGGCAGCACAGCCACCTGTCCTGTCCTTTCCTAACCAGACCCACAGCCTTGCACCTCCAGTAGCCTGTGGTTCCCCCAAGCAATGATGCCTGACTCATCCCAGAATCCCCCGGAGTCCAGTCTGGAGCTAGCTCACTGTCCTCCTGCCCTACCCCTGCCCTGTCCCAGGTCTCACAGCAGAGAAAGCAAAACTAAACTAAACTAAACTAAATAAGCAATGGTTTCTGGCCCATACCCGGAACTGTCTTCAAGCCTACATTAGATGCCTGAAAAACACCAGTCATAGTATAAACTTCAACCTGATTTCCCCTTCCCCAAACAAACCTCAGAAGAAATCCAATAGCACAAAAAGCAACCTTTTGGGAGAGAAGTCGCTCTGCTCTATGGCAGCTGGCTGTGAGCTGGGCATTTAGGTCATTTCTCCTGGCAAGTCTGAGGTGGCCTGTTTGGGGTTCTCCTGTGTGGTAGCCACGTGGGTACCTGAGCCACACTCGAGCAGAGGAGGTCACTGGCTGGGTTTTCCCTGCTCTGAGGAAGGCCAGGGATTGGGCATCTCAGCACAACAGCTGACCACTTCAGACAAGGCCGGCCACAGGGTCAGGGGGCCCAGTGACACGGCTGGTGAGCCAGAAAGTGCGTTGTCTGTTCACCTCCGATGAGCCCGATATGGGGCTCAATTTGGAAAAAAACTTCCCAAGGCAGTTTCTCCCAGTGACCTTGCAAAGAGGTCCGGGCCGGCTCCCCATGAAGGGATCTTTCCTGGATCCAGAAATGTAGGCCAAGCATCAGAAGATAAATGTGCTTCTAAAACATGGGTCAATCCATTCTGATTCTGAAAACCTAAGCGCAGGGCTGGGCATGGTGGTGACCTCCTGTAATCCTGGCACTCTGGGAGACTGACGCAGGAAGACTATAAGTCTGAGTCTAGCAAGGGCAACTTAGGGACTGCCTTGAAACCAAAAAATTAGGAAAAAAAGGACTGGGGGTGTAGCTCATTGTGAGAGGTCTGGGTTCAAGGCCTAGAACTAAGAAACAAAACAAAGCCAACCACAACTGGAAACATCCACATAACTCTTTATGTAGCACAAGAAACAACTTCAACACACTATGTTTTGTAACTCTCAGGTTTGTTTAAGAGAGGATCCTGGAATCCTCTCCTCTTTCCCTCACCCGGCGCCACCCCATCCTTGGGCCCAGCCCACAAAGCAACTGAAGCCAGAACACAGAGGGACGGACAGACAGCTCCGAGCACTGCTCTGTTCCCAGCAGCCTGTAGTAAGAGCAGGAGGTGGTGCAGGCGGGAGAAGATGCCACACAGGGCCAGGAGTCCCCGCGGCTGGGTAAGACCCCAAGCTGAAAAATACATGACCTGTGTGGGTGAGTGTGTCACTTCCAACCGCAGAGCCCATGGTTTGCTCACTGACCAGCATGGGTCAGAGGACACTGAGTGGTCCCATTACCCGCACCTTGATGGCAGCAGGACACTCTCCCTGGCCCAGAAATCTCTTGCCACTTGCCTAGGCTGAGGGGCTCTCGGAGCCACTGCTTTCCTCCAGCACTGCTGTGTGGTCACAGCCATGCCAGGAAGGTTCTCAGGCGTGGGCCTTGGCTTTAGCCGGCTACCACGGGGACCCTGGTCCATGCCAGGCAGCACCTGCCCCACCTGCAGTCTAGAAGTGTGGGGTCACGCCAGCTGGCCCCGACTCCAAGGGTCTACACTGTGCATGGGATCTTGAAATGCCTGAGGGAGCACCTGCAGGCACAGGGCACAGGCCTGGACAGCGGCTGCTTTAGGGACAGGGGTGGGATCAAAGCTCAGCCCCAACTCTGACACCACGCTGCCCTTGAGCAGGGGCAGCGGACGGACCTTGACCTCCAAGCTGCCATTCTCACAGGGCCCAAGAGGCAAGGCGCCTTCCCAGAGCCAGCCCTCCACCCAGCTTTCCCTTCGGGCACTGGAGGGCCACTGCAGCTGTCTTCTCCCCGCTGCCTGGCGTCAGCGGAAAACAGCTTCCAGAGCCACCCTGTCACTCCTGGTCTGCAGCAGCCCTGCAGTTGCCGGCTCCTCTCGGTCAGTCTGCCAGCCTCTGGCCTGTAGCCCCTCTGTGTTGAGCGATGCTGGTTCTCACGCCCACCCGAGACCTCCAACCTTCCGGGCAGCCTCACATCAACAACAGTCTAAATCACTACCACATATATGTATTTTAAATAAAAGAAGCATAGCTATACTGCTTCAAAGCACTCAAAATAAGTCCTGCATCCATTTATGGTTTTTTGTTGTTTTCTTTTGAGACCGAGTCTCACTCGGTCCTTCAGGCTGGCCTTGAACTCACTATGCAGCCCAGACTGGGCCTCAAACTCAATGAGATATTCCTGCTCCAGTCTCCCGAGTGCTAAGATTACAGGTGTGCACCACCACAGTAGGCTCCCTCTTCACACCTTATTTGTACCATTGAGCAAAAAGCATAGTGTGTGGCAATCATGAAATATTCTCCAAACCCGGGGTACCCAAAAAGATTTAACTCACAAAATCATTAAGCTGGTCTTTTGCCCAGGTTGCCATCTCACTGATCTGTAGCATATCTCCAAAAACCATTTTTTTTTTTTTTTTTTTTTGTTTTTTGGTCTTGTTGAGACATGGTCTTGCTATGCAGTTCAGGCTGGGCTTCAGCTCACTTTGTAGCCCAGGCTGGTCTCGAATTTGCAATGATCCTCCTGCCTCAGCTTCTCACGTGCTGGGATTACAGATGGGCACCCCAGGCCCGGCTGCTGAAAACCGTTCCAATGTGTGTGAGACCCAGCCAGCCTCCTCAGAATCTACTTGGTGCACAGGTACAAGGTCACACTGATGCCAATTAGGGCACAATGCCGTAGACAATATTTCTCCTGCATAGCCAGGCTCGGCCTTTCTGCCCATAGCTCCAATGCTGCTCTGGGCTTTCCAGGAGAGACCTAACTATACAGTTCTGAGCTCAGAGCACACTATGCACAGCACCCGCAAAGTTCTGAGCTCAGAGCACACTATGCACAGCACCCGCAGAAGGAAGACAGCATTAGCTAAAGTGTGTGCGGAAGACCCCACAGGAGGACAGGAAGGACAGGGCCTGCACCAAGGCAGCCCTTTCTTCCTTCACAAAGTTCTTTTTGGTTCAGATCTCCCAGGTGTGTATGGGGATGCAGGAGACCCACACAGAATTCTCATCCATTTCCTTCTTGGCGAAAGCCACTTGTTGCCCATGCCTCACCTACCTGGTCAGCGAGACGGCAGGCACTGGACGGACACTGGCTGCTGGGGCCACTTACCAGCGGGGGCTGCGGCTGGGGGTGCTGCCCTGAGCCCGAGGGGGCCGGGTAGTGCATGAGCAGATTGAAGGCGGAGTAGACAGTCTCTTTGTACATGCCGCTGGCGCAGTCCGGAGCCTTCAGGCCTGGAAAAACCACAGCTGGGTCAGACACCCGCCCGGACAGCTGCTCGGGCTAAAGGCTGTCTGCTCTGGAGAGAGAAAAATAAGTATCTCCAAAGGGTCCCCTTCGAGTATGAGGCTCTCTCGGGAACTGGTTGTCCCCAACGCCAAGTTCTTGGAGCTGTGGGGGAGGAGGACCGTGGGTCCCCTGGCAGCTCGGACTCCTACCCCGCCCTCCAGCCAAGGAACCTGGGCCACCGCTTGCAGCTCCTCCAGGCGGGGGACTGTGGAGTCCGCCGTCACCTGGACGGGAGGGAAGGCGGAGATGGCGGGGGTCTGTTTACTCCTATAAAGGTCAGGGCACCGGAAGTGACTCGGGCCCCGCGGCGCCCGGGAAACCCGCCCCCCGCCCCTCACCCCGCCGCCCGCACCGCGCCGGGCTGCAGCCGGGCGACGCCCCCCGGGTCTGGCGGAGCGCGCGGAGGCCCTGCCGCGCGGCACTCACCGTCCTCCAGGGGCTCTGGAAGTTTGTCGGCGAAAAGTCTCTGCGAGGTGCGCTCGCGTGCGAGAGCCTGCGGGGAAGAGCAGGGCCCCGTGAGGCGGCGGGGCCGGGCGGGGAGGGGACCCGGCCGGGGCCGGGGCCGGGCGGGGAGGGGACGGGGCAGCAGCAGCCGGGCCGCGGCTCGCTCTCACCTCGGCGCCCACCTCGGCCTCGCCGCCCGCCGCGCTCCCGGTCTCCGGGACCGCCGCGCCCCCGGCCGCACCCTCGGACTCGGACTCGTTCACGAGCGACGACTTGAGCTCGGCCAGGTCGCGCTCGGGGCCGGCGGCGCTGTCGCGGCTCTTGCCATCCTGCTCCTCGCCCTCGTCCTGGAAGGCCAGCAGCTCGTCGGGCGCGCCCAGGTCGTCGCCGCCGCCCGCGCCACTCCCGCCTGCGTCCAGCTGCGGCATGGTGCGCGCCGTGGGGCGCCCGGGACGCGGGGCGCCGGGGGTGCGGGGCGCGGGGCCGGCCCGGGAGACGGCGAACCCGGAGTCGGGACCTCCGAGCCCGGAGCGCGGCGGGCGGAGCGCGGGCCGACGCCGCCTAGGCGGGCTGTGGGCGCGGGCCGAGGGCGCCGGGCTGAGCCGCTCCAGGAGCTGGCGGGTCGCAACATCAAAGGCGCCGCCGGCTGCGCGCCGGGGGCGGGGACGGGGCGGGGCCATGGCGCCGGGGCGGGGTTAAGGCTCAGGCCACGCCCCCTATCCCTGGAGAGGCCGGTCTCGCCCACAGGGCACGGTCTTAAAGGGCTCGCTCTTCCCGAGGGAGACGCTGGACGGGCTTGCAAATCATCACTGTTCTCCCGAAGGGCAGGGAAGCTAAAGGAAACTCCCGACCTCGTTTTCTCACCTACAAGATACTCCCGTCCGATGCTCAAGTGTCTCCTCTTGTTGCAGAGTGCGGGTCCCGCGGGAACTTGGGGGTGCCTTGGAACAAACGCAGTGTGAGGCTTTGGCGCTAGCTTGCTCGAGGCTGTACTGGGATGGCAGGGCACCCAGCAAAGTTAGGACTCCCCGGAGCTCTGTCTGCCCCACCCTTGTCCGGGTGCAAATCTGGGGCCTCCTCTTAGCAGCCCGCCCACCGCTGGAGCACTGGCGCGCACCCCTCCGGGTTTATGGGGAGCCTGCAGTCTGTTTGGCTCCCACCTCTCAAACGGGTGACCTCCCCAGCCGTGTGGCAGCTCCAAGGCGTAGCTACAGAGGACACGAGGAAGGCCGTCCGCCGGCTTCCAGTCTCCCACAGCTGGCCCACCAACCTGCAGCGGGAACTCGGGGCTCTGGGGAGCCACGTGGCCCACTGGACCACAACGTGGGGCCTTGGTTCCCACAATTCTGTCTGAAACTTGCATCCTGGAGTCCTTTGATTCTGACGCTGGGTCGCACATGTGCTGTGTCCCTGCATCTACTCGGCATCCAGGACGGTGTCCACGTGGACCTCCAGGACACGCTTGGTCCGGGTGCAGCCTCTGCGTTCACACAAGACCCAGGTGCTGTGGAACACCTCGCGCACCCTCCCCCCCCCCCCACCGTGTAGTAAACTGCAACCCGCTCCATTCACTGCTCTGCCAGCAGGGTTCTGTGTTGGGTTCCGCGTAGACGTTCCCACGTTTTTTGGATACGGGGCTCTTGGACGAGTCTCCAGCGCAGGGCCCCAAAGGACCCTTGGCAGCGGAGCACAGCCCGGCCGGAAGACAGCCGCGCCGCCCCTCCAGGTCCAGGCCCAGCCTGCTTGGCTTCTGATCAAAGAACCAGGGCCGAGAGTCTTTGTGCTCAGATCCTATCTTTGCCCTCCTGGCGGGGCGTCTCACGGCGGGGAGAGGATAACCCACCTCCCCAGCGAGGATGCCCACTTCTCCCTTCCCAGGGCTGAGGGCTTGGTCACTAGTACTCAGCTTAGCACTGCAGAGTCACCGCAGGGACCTCCAACGTTTTCTCCCAGTGTGAGCTCGATGCTCGGTTTGACTCTGAGGCTCCTAGATTAGAGGAGTGAGGGGACTCCCGCCAATTGTGAACTCCCAGGGGAGGAGCAGAGCAGGGACCAGGCCCAGGATTTACATCCTCTGAAGGTGGCCATCTGGCAAGTGGAGGAGCATCCCCCATGGAAGAGGAGTAGAAATCCTCTTAACCCAGAGGTGTGTGTGGGTGCTGGTGGCCAGGACAGAACCTCTTCCGGAAAAGTTCATGAGATCCATGGGGACCTCGGAGACCTGAGCCACCACCACACGGGGATTGGCATCCTCTCCATCTCTGGAGAAAGGAGAGAAGTCAGGACAAGTGTGTTTAGGGTTTGGTTTTCTCAGGGTAATATTTTGCAGCGTGGTATTATTAGCCTTTAATCAAAGATTATGGTCTTTCAGCTTTATTGGTGTGAAGCCTTTCTTTTGCTAACAGGACGATGAGAACAGAGTTTTAAAAATGCCTTTGTTTGGCAAAAGCAAATAAGGACACTATTCTGATCCATTCACTCCCCCATTCTCAAGTTTCTCTGGATATTTTATAGGGCTGTGACATCCCAAGTCTGGAAGCCACTGCCCTGCGGGCTCTGTCTCCAATTCCTCACCCTGCTGGTGGGACCAAGATGGGGAGAGAAGGTGGGGCAAATAGGGGCTGAGGAAGGTTAGGACTGGCAGAGAAGGGAGGAGTTAGATGTCCAAGGCCACGCCGAAGTCATCCCAAGGTTTGCTGAAAGATCAGTCACTGTGTCTGGAGCTCTGGGGTAGAGGTATTCGTCCTTTAGGAGTCACGGGTTGTTCTGAGAAGTTGAACTATCAGAGCTGAGTTAGGTGCTGGACTGGTCTACACATGCGTTGGGCAGGAACTCTGCTACAAGGGGCAGGGGGGATGGTGGTGGTGCTGGAGCAGGCAGGGCTGCTTCCTGGAGGAGGTGGATCGCATGTGGGCTTGGACGGCTAAGGAGGGCTTGAAGAGCCAGAGAGGAACAGGAGCTTGGACTTGGTTCTAAACTGCAGGTGTACCCCAGCAGGAACCCCTTGCCTGGTCAGCCCTGATTTGTTTATTATCGATGCTGTATGATGCTTTTAACTCTTTCGGGAAGGCCTGCAGGAGAGGAATGGCTGGGTGATTCCTTTATTACCAGCTGCCTGAAGGCTTCGTATGTTGAGTGTGTGCTGTATGCCAGGTACCCCGGGGGGAGCTGCGCATACATTATCTCCTTTCACCGTCACACCGTGGACTGCTGTCCCCACTTTATGAACGGGGAAACTGAAGTGCAGAGAGCCTCAGTGAGTCACCCAGGGGCTCACTGCTTAAAAGTGAGGGTGTCAGTATTCCAGACCCAGGCATTCCGGCGCCTGTGCCCACACCCTGTGCTCGTAGTTAAAGTCCCATCATGACCCCCCAAATCTCAGAGGGAGTCTTTATATGCTGCATGGGCCTAACAGACAATGCTGATGTGTGTGTCCTGACTTCCTGGGTAGCTCCTATTGCATGGAAAGGTCACCAAGAGGACTTAGGGAGTCACCTGGGCGGTCTGTATGGGGTGCCCCAGCCCTTTGTCTAGGAGGGGGCCCGGTGCCTCACCCTTGGCCTGGGCCACCTCTCTCTGTAGCCTGCTTTAACAAGGCTTCCTCACCATGCAAATAAACCAGGTGATCTTGACTGCCTTTTGGAAGATGCCTGCCGGGGTCAGGACCCCTTGAACCTGCAGATCTGAGCAAAGAGGCTGTGGCTTTCGATTTGGACACACCTGAGTTTCCATCCCTGCCCTGCCCTTTACCATCTGGGGGTCCCCAGGCACATGGAGGGCTGCCCCTGAGCCCCTCAGCCTCCTCCTAGGAGAAATGGGTGTCTCAGCGGCCCGCCTTTCACTGGCGAGCCTGGCTGAGATGAATCAGGGTATCCTAGTGAAGCGTTTAACACAATGCCTGGCGCATTCCAAGCACTCTAATAAATGGGTGCTCTTCAGCTAGATATTTTTCGGAAGTTGTTAGGCTAATTGGCTTTCATGTAATGTCATGTAAATCATCTGCGTGTCCTCATGGCCTGAGCCCACTTAATCATAGCTAAGGCTGAAAATATACATTTCCTTTCCTTTCCTTTCAAGTTCCTTTAACATGAAAGGCCCCAGTGAACTCCCTGACCTTTTCTAACAGGGAGACCCTTGAAATGTGGCATTTCCAGAAATCGGCTCAAAGGAGCCCCACACGGATTGAGTAAATTACAGCAGGGAGCGGTCCCAAGCCAGCAGCCCTGCCTCTCTTCCTGCCTGCCATCCTGTCGGGACTCGTCAGAGCCCAGAGCTGCCTGGAGGCCCGGCTGCAGGCTCCCGGCAGGAGGCTTCCATGGGAGCACATTCTCTCTCAGGGTACCACCCGGTCGACAGCCTAGAAACAGCCCGTGGCTCAAGGCTTTCTGGAGACCATAGTCTCAGTGTGTCCGGTAGGTGTTTGTGACCTGCGAGGCGGCAAAGACACACAGGGCCATGGTGCCTGCAGAGGGAACCAGAAGGGTCTGAAGTCATCCTGTCCTTCACAAAGATGGGAAGAGCCAGGCAGGCCGAGGGTAACTTCTAATGTCAGCTGCAGCAGAGGCTGAGGCAGGAGAGTCGCACATTGGGTCCCAGCCTGGCCAACTCAGTGAGACCCTGTTGCAAAATAAAAAAGGCTGGGGATAGAGCTCAGCTTCCTGGAGATTCAGGGCCTGGTACTGAGGAAGTGGAGGAAGAAGGAAGGAAGAAAGGAAGGAATCGTGTACGAATTCTCCTCTCCCCACCCCTTAGATGTACACAATACCAAGAATTACCATCTCAAAATAAAAACATAATGAGCTGGACATGGTGGCTTACGCCTGTCAGTCATCCCAGCACTTGGGAGGCTGAGGCAGGAGAATCATCATGAGTTTGAGGCCAGCCTGGGCTACGTAGTGAGTTCAAGGGCAGCCTAAACTGCATAGTGAGACCCGCCAAATATATATATATTAAATATTAATGATTAGGCTACTGACAGATTTTTCCTGGAAAGCACCTCCAGGAGTTCTGGAGAACCCACTGGCTTTTTGCACATGTGCAAATGCTCCTCCAATCAGCTGCCAAGATGGCATTCCACCTGCCCCTTTAACTCCGCCCCCATCAAAGTTCAAATAAAGTTGTGGTTCTTTCCCAAAGCTCCCAGAGTTGCTTGTCTGTCTTCAGCAGCTCTCCCACACCCGCAGTAAAGGCCTCTTTTCTTTCTATTTTTTCTCTTTTTCTCTCTCATGCATCAGAGAACCAAACAGCTACAAGTTCATTTTCTCAACGAAAGCCCCAGGAAGCTTGACCAAATTGACAGGGAGGGCTGAGGAAGGGTGGGTAGAAAGATCCATCGCCTCATTGGTGTGAAGCCCTGTGGTCAGCATTGTTCCCAGCGAAATGGCCAGGACTCCCCTGCCAGATGGGAATAGTAGCCCTGGTTCTCCACAGGAGGGAGTTGGGATCAGAGAGGTGAGTATCTGGGCAAAGCCAGGCCCAGGGCAGCTGTCACAGCCCAGCTCTGGCAGGACATTTATAGTGGCCACCCAGGAGTCTGCTTGTGCGAGCCCCTTGGCTGGGTCCCCAAGCCACCACTGGCTGGCTGAGCAAATTCCTGTAAGTCATCCATCTTCTCTAGGCCCAGAAT